GGGCGCCTGCTGAACCTTCTGCCTGCGCCGGACTCAAAGGCGACCTAAACTGGCTTGCTGTTAAGGAACGTGAAGTAAGTTACCATATTGGGGGAAACATATCATAGATATATATATATATATTCATTCGACAAATTAAGTTCCTTAACAGCAACCCAGCAAAAAAAATGGTAGTCCTGGATAACTATAGGTTGCAGATTTTGCTGCAAACATCCTACGACCGAATGCGAAGACCTCATGATCTTCTGGCGTGGGCAGATTTAGGGTTTAGGGTTTCACCCCACCATTTTTCCTGCTGCCAGAAAGCCAGCATACACTCTTCAAAGCATAGTCTGGTAAAGGACTGGGTCGCTGTTAGGGAACTTATGTTAAGCCACCGCAATGAGTTTGTGTGCATATATATGTATACATATGTATGCAATATTATGGTTTCCCAATATAGTAACTTAAACTAAGTTCCTTAAAAGCAGCCCAAACGATTGCTAGCATTGGACCCCCCTTGGCTCCATCATCAAATAATCAGAGCTGCCAACCTCCTCCAGCTCCCAGATCACTTTCAGGGTCCAGGTATCCCAATGGAGGTACCATTTCGGGGGTCCCTATAGTAAGGACTCTATAGTATTTTGAAGTCGATAGTTGGGTCCCCCCTATTTAGGGAAGCTACCAAATAACTAGCTGGTAATTAGGGCTCAAATACCATAATCTTGATGGCTTTTGGCCCCCGAAGCCCAATTGTTTGGATAGTTGTACCCTTAGGATTCGAACAGCGCCAACATGCGTTAGCTCCTTGTGAAAAACAACCACGGAGCACGGGGCTTTTGTGAGTGGGCGCCAAGTCAATCCAGCAGCGCAAATACACAACAGTTGTGCTGGCTACGGCCTATAGACCCAGACCCAATCTTTGCGTTTCCTTGGGCATGTGTAGATGCCTCAAACTGCAAGGCCCCTTCTTGAGGGTTATTGTGCGAGGCACTCACCAGGGACCCTGATTGCGAGATGTTGACGTGTAGTCTAGCAGCTGCTTGCTGAATCGTCGGACGCAGTTGGAAAAAGGACGGGCGCTTGCTTCTGGATCATTTTGAAGCGGTCTGTGACTTGACCCCCATCCAGGACCCGAAGACCAAAGCCTTCCAGCTAAAGGGCAGCGTCAGAGGGCTCACTGTCTCTCTGAATCTAAGACACTGACAGTAGCAGTGGGAAAGAGCTCCTTTGGTAGCAGGCGCTCGCTCTATGTGATATCTGGGAAGTCCTGGAAGTAGCTCGGCTATAAGGGTGTTGGATCAATAGGCCAGCCGATCATGTGTGGCATGTCTGCAGAGGTGACGCACTCGAACCTTGTTCACATATCGTGAAGTTTGTGCAAGGTATGTGGGCAGTCCCATGCTGAAGTATTTCATACAGGAGCAGCTGCTTTTCCTGGGGCGGACAGGTGTGTGCAACCTCATATGAGAACCTAAACTCTAGGTACTATTTCCCCCCATACCAGAGAATCAAATGGAAAAGAAGATCAGTTGTAGGTACCATATAAAGATTCTATCGGGTTTAGGGATGCTCTCCAGATAATGGAGAGTCAAATTGAAGAGCAAACTGAAGATAACTTGGACACTGGGATGAGAAAGGTTAGGGATGCATGAAGCTCTGATCCACTTCAAGGCTACCAGATCTTGGCCGGAAGCTCGCTAGACGCCCTGCAGTCCAAGACTTCGTACCCAGATTCCTGAGCTGTACTATAGCACCACGAGTAGTGGCAGTTGTATTGTTGCTCTGGTTGACTGTTCATGATGAGACTTCACCCCACCATGCCTATCCGTAATATTCCTGCTTCTTGTTATTGTCACCATTCCTCAACCCTCAGTATAATCCCTATATAACTCCCTATAAAAAACCCTATTATGATATAGTAGTTTCCATTTTCTTTTCCATTATCCCTATTTCCCAATATACTAATAGTCATAGGCCCCAAAGCCTCAGCCGTCGTGTTTCGGCTTATGACCAGAGCTGAGTGCTGCCGAGCTTTAGACTCCTTGGCTTAGGTGCACAGTGCACAATGGTGGCAAGCTCAGTCGCAGTTCCATGGCCATTGGACTACAACGGGAGTAAATAAGAAGTTCCTGGACGGCTAGATCTGAGAAGCTCTCAAGGTTCTTCTTGGGAAATGAGGCCATTGATCCCTCAAACCCTGCTACCCACAGTCCTTAGTCCGTTCTGTGATTCCGCTATTCACCTAGGCTTTCTTTCGGGGTCCAGTGTTGATGGTCATGTGGAGGGGTTCGGAAGCCCGCATGATAAGGATTGTAGTGGATTGGGGTCAGCATTAGATTATCGGGGGCCCTAGTTATGGAAACCACTATGTTTTGCACGAGTGTAATGAGGGTATGTGCAGCAATGATGCTCCTCGGTGTGAGAGTTGGGTTCTGTCTGTATACGGCACGCGGTACTGAGATCTTCTCCATAGTAGCCATTAGCAAGGCGCTATTTTGAAATACGTTTATGTGCACGAAGAAACCCTCTTGTGGCGACGTAACCAGTCGCGGTAGACAGCTCAAGGCATCCACTTTTAAGCCAAGCCCATCTGGCGTGCGTTTAAACTTGATGTTTCCTGAGTTCTGCTTTGGAGATGCAAGTCGCATAACTCACGCTTCTAATGTACGCGTGCGCAAGAGACGTACTTATGAAATGGGAAGTGTTTCAGAAGTCCAATGAAGTCCTTCCACTCTTGTCTCCTGTACTTTTTATTTTGGGGTTACATAGGGATAATGGAAAATAAAATGGAAACCACTACTATAGTATATTGGAGTTGTATAGGGATCATGGAAAGAACATGCAAACTACCAATGTATAGTGGGGCAACGCCCTACAATATCCCCTCACAAGCCTATTCTGACTCCATAGGGGGAATTGCTGTAGCCCGTTGTTTAAGTGATGAACAGCATGGCTTCTCTGTCGCCAATTCATGACCCTAGGTTCGATGAGAAGCTTTGTATTCGGGGATACTACAGTCCACAATAGAGCACGGTCATACCCACCTTATGCTTAGTTCAATTGAACTTCAAGAATCGACTAGATCAATAGGTCGGGCGTGTTCAAAGCCAAAATGTGGCTCCGAGGTTGACACAAGCTTCTGACACAGGACAGGTCAGACTACAACTCGATAGCAAGTGGGGGATTTCCATAATTTGCCAGCATGCTGACGCAACAACCTGCGGTGCTTGCTGACAGTCCGTGGGCTGGCAGATAGGAAGCGCCTAGGATACCCACCTGTAGAGAATGGGGAAATCAAAATCAGAGTCCTATGCAGTTCCCCGAGGTGGAAGCATCTATTGTGTTTGGGGCCCTCCACAATATCAAGCAGAGCCTGTGAAATCTCTCTCTCATCTCTAGCGGTGCCTTTACGATAGGCTTTTCTTACACACCCTGATACCCGAAAACCTCAGTTTCTTTTAAGTCTAAGCCCCTGCCCAGACAGAAAATAGCAACCATCTCAGTTTGAGCGACTGAGGCCAAGCTCTACTTTCGTCATGGTGCCATGGGCTCCTTTTCTGGCTGAGGAGTAAAGCTTCGTTCTGGGTTCCGGATCAGGGGGTGCTGGCCTTTGTTTATATGATATATGGTAGTTTCCCAAAATAGGGGGACTATAATACAGACCCCAAAATACGATGATCCTTATTCTGGGGATCCCCAAAAAGGTACCCCTTATTTCGGGAAACTCCCATACGGGGACTACTATAAGGATCCATTCCTTCATTGTTAGCTCACCAAAGGCTAGGTTAGCACGGTGCAGGGCGAAGGTTTTGTCTGAGACGGTACGTGTAAGCATTGCATTCAGAAATCTTTTCTTTCAGCTCGTCATCCTAGGCAGGGATGAAACCCGAAACCCTACATCCTTTATTCATTCCCATAATTCAATCCTACATCCCCCTTTAAGTACCTTAATCCTATATTCCCTACAATAGTACATCCACCTTTAAAGGTACCTTGAAAATTATTCAATATTATGTCCCCCTTCAAAGGTATCTTGAAAGTCAGTTTTTCGTTTCCAGGGATCTCATGCCGCTGAGGCTCCGCAAAGACCTTGAACCTGCTGGCGATTGCGCATTCTTACGAGATGCACTTGGGCTGAAAGGATTGGGTTGGATAAGAGGAGCTGGGTAACCCCAACCCCTAGAATTGGGACCCTACAACACAAATCATGTGACTACACTGGCGTCCTGATTTCAGGGTGGGGTTACCAGAATCCTCTTCTCATAGTTTATGTTTAGCGTTTAAGGACTTTTCAGTTCAAGCGTTTTGCAAGTTTTGCCAGCGCTTCTCTTATGACGGATATTTGTGTTGCTTGCCATTCTGGCTTTTTGCGCTACACTTTGTGCATGTGCACTGCAGCTTGCATTCCCGTTGCTTATGCTCGTCCTAGCCCTACCTCTGCTCGAATGCAATTTCTCGGGGGGGCACGCTAACCAGCGGGCAAGGACGATTACAAAAGCGAGGTACGGTGTAGTGACGTTTGCGCAGTTTGCGTGGCTACCTGAGGCAATCGAAGAAGGCCGGCCTGAGCGCGCATAAGCTGAAGCTTTGTCTCCCTCATGCCAGTGGGTACCGTCCTGGCAGGCTTGTTAGGTGCATGTGACCGCAACTGCTACTGTTACGCTTCTTGATGTGAGCTGCGCAGTAACAAGTTTGTTTGTTCCGAGCTTGCAATGAGCTGTTCAAGCTAGCAGCTTATAGCGGGCTGTCGTGTTTGACAAATCCTTGGACCTATCATGGACTCCCCCTGGTGACAAAGAGATCCAGGAGCTTGAGACGATAGCCGATGTGATGGTATACTGACTCAATGATTTAGCTCATGAATTAAACCATCAATCCGCTATTCAATTAGTTACTTAATCAACTAATTAATCAACCAGTTAATTGATTGACTAATTCATTAACATGACGTTCTCTCACTCTACAAGTAGCCACGTTCTCATGCATGGGCCTGTAGTGCTTTGGCCACCCTGAGGACCATGAGATCTTCATCCCACGGGCTCCTGCTGTCCTTTTGGGTTGTCGTGCCGCTTAGCAGTCTCGCCCTCCGCCCAGCACGTGAACAAGGAGATGATGACGACCTGCAGGCATGTCTAGGCGGAGACTGCGGCCCAAATAGCACTGAGGACGATGCTAGATTGCTAGCAGGAGACGGAGCTAACGAGGCGAAAGCCGTGGAGGATGAGGCGCTTGAGCAAGAGGTAGTGGCAATGGACCAACCGCAAGCAGAAGAAGCAAACCAACAGTATCCCCTGGCCGTTCAGGGTACCTTTGAGATGCCCTTCAAACCTGGGCAAGTACCAGGGGTGAAGCTTGGACATGGTATGGGCTCAAGCGGCACCCTCGTCGTGGAAAATGCCGTGGGTGGCCACCTTGGCCGGGTCAAGAAGATTGCGGGTGAAGATGTGACGCAGAAAACCACGGCTACGGTTGCATACCTTTGGGCAAATCAGGTAAGAGGTCACCAAAACTACACTGTCGTCCTCGAATGCAGCAGCGAAGGCACTAAAGCGGCATTGCCTCTGGCAGCCGTGGGGATAGTACCAATGCTTTTCACAGCAACTTGGTGCTGAAGGCATGTCTTTGTTGTTCAGTTCTGAAACTTCCTGATACACTGTGGGTTCTTTTAGCATATCTTCTTGACTCAGCTGTGCTTCAGGCGTTCCTGTCTTGCTTGATACCTGGCTTCACGTGCGGCATGTGTGGAAAATGTGGCTTCAGAGTATTGTCGTCATGGCCCAACGGGCCCGATACAACGTCAGACTCAGATTCAAAGAGCACGTATGTCGTCCCCTGCTTGGAGCAATCTCAACTTGTAAGGGCCACAGAAAATCCTTGGGTCCAAGCAAGCCCAGCGCTGCTTTTTGCAGGGATGTTCGTGAAAGCACTTCTAAAGGACGTGATCTTTGACAAGTACATGGCTTCGGCGAACCCTGCACTCACTGCCGTACGTGTTGCAGCCCCCTTGGTGAATTGCTTGTCAAGTCTTGCGGTGATGTGGGGACTTCAAGCTGGACCAGGTGTGAAATTCATAGCCAACACGGCAAAGTGTCCATCGGATCTGCAAAAACCGTTGCAGGATGAGTTCCGCTTTGTATCTTATTTTCTCGGGCCCAGGCTCTTCTGCAATGCCATCAGTACCTGGTGCATGCCACTTTTCCTCCTTTTTCTTCACAGGTCAGGGTGTGTCGGCAAAGCAGAGTTGGTTGAGCACCATGCGCTCGTCTCAGCTGCATACCTAGCATTCTTCTTGGCCTGCCGATTTATGTTGGAGGCTGCTATCGTGGCGCGCGTCGCCGAAGCCCACGTGCGAACAACAAAAGATTCCCTGAGCCTGGAAGGAGTAGATGCTGAGAAGCTGCAGGCATTCCACAAAGCCTGCGTGCGGCTTGCTGATGACATCCTTCCAGAGCTTGCCAAGATTAGTGGACCAACCTTGGGACTGGCAGCATGCAGAGCAATTCTTGCCTTCTTCGCTGTGATCGAAGTGGCCCGTTGTGCCGCAGATATGGGAAGCCCCGTTGGGAAGCTGCAGATAGCATTTTTGTTGATGGCGGTCATCATCGATTTGCCAGTTGGGCTGTACTGCCTTCTGCTGCCGGCCAGCGTCTCTGATGCGTGCTTGGAGTTGATGGAGCACTTGAACAATGTGAGATCGCAAGATATCCCGAAAGAGGATAAGGCTGAGGTAGACAGAGACTCCGACGCATTTTTTTTTTACCATCTATGTTGACGGATGAACACGCACGAATATCGTAGGAGCAGCTGCATGCCTTGGATGCTGGCCCTATATACTCACTAACGGTTGGATAGTACTATTCTAATACAACAGTACAGAGCCTTCAATATGGCCCCCCAAATTGGCCCCTATTCTAGACTGCTAATGGTGAGACCGGAAACCTCAACCGTTAATGGGTGGGGGCAGGACCCAATACATACCTTTTGGGGTGTTTTTTGGGTGCCGTTTTCAGGAGAGATCAGGCTCACGGAGACCTATCTCAGCAAGGCCTGTGGGCTTCGGATCTACGGGACCTGATGATATGAGGCGTTCCCAAAATTAGGGGAGCCTTTTTTGGGGGGCCCCCATGAAACTGAAACTGACCATAGTATTTCGGGGTCTATAGTGGGGTCCCCCTATTTTGGGAAACTATCATACAGGGTGTTCAGCTGTTGATGGGACAAATTGGGTGTCCCTACGGCCTTTGTGAATCGTACCTTACCTGTAGTCTTGAATGAAACACACGCCTATCGCATCCACCCGACGCCCTTCTCATGGAAGGTCAACCGTGGTCAAGGCTTGGGCTTCGTCCTCTATGGCTTTAAGACTCTTGGTGCAGAACGAGTGTGCGGTTTCATTTCTCAGGGTTCCGACTTGTTTTCGCAGGCTTCACTCATGGAATTGAACCATTCGTTCTGGGCTTTGTAGGTGGGCGCTAAGTTGGATAGGCACTTGTGCGGGAAATTTAAAGGAGGTCCACCATGATGATCTCTGCATGTTTCGGCGGTGTGAGCGCCCGGTTGTGCTTCTGTCATGGAAGTGACTCTGGGTTCGGAACGTAACCCGGAGGCGACACACATCCGAAGCAGATGGGGGTTGGCGAGATGCTTTCATGTAAAATGTTGCTGTCTTGGTCTTCTTAAGAACTATCAGAGGGGCAGGAATTGGGGTCAAGGCAAAGGGTCCAGAACAGGAAAAGTAAGTAAGCTCAGCCTGTTCTTTGTTTGTTGAATTTGTTGACTTCTCCACCCCTCACTCTGCAAACCTTAGTGACTGGAAAGGACGGTGGTCGACAAGAGAATGATACTTTCCATGTTCGCCAAGTTTGCTGCTGCATCTTCCTTGATCATGACCGTACTCCGCGAGGTGGGGCCATGGCAATCCTGGTATCGTCCAAGTGTTTAGGCCAAACAGGATCATTTTTTTTACGCGGACAGGAGCAGTAAGCCGAACTAGCTGCATTCAAGCTGCATTCAATGCCGTGTGATGGGTAATCATGGGTAGACATTCGGCTGCACACCGAAAGAATGCGCTGTGGGGCCCAAGGGCCATTTCTGAATTTGCAGGTCTATGCGCGGGAGAAGGAAGTGGAAGACATCCTCGTGAAGGTTAACGGCTCTTCGAAGCTGTGAATGTGTCAAGACAGGGCACATATCCTGCCTGCAGGAGCACCGCCAGACTGCGGAGTGAAAAAGGTGTTGTCACCGGCACGGTTTATGCCAGGAATTTCAAGTCGTTCAAGATATCGAACACGGTACCGTGGCTTCTCTACACTTGTCTATACTCATGATCCCTCAAAATTGTGGTGCCGGTTGGATACTGCTTGTGGCTTGACTAGGTATGTTCGGAAAATTGAGGATAACATTGGTGTTGCCAGAGCATTACTCAAAGTTGCAGTCATATGAGTCAGGCGGGGCAACATAGCAATGACACAACGCCTTTCTTACCATGCACACGTGCTCTTCGTACACAATGACAATATGTACGACTCGGACATGGTGGTAACCTTGTGCGCATTTTGCACCGGCAGCTTGCGATGCCAGAAATGGATATAGCCCCCCTCAAGTAGAAAGAATATGGGGTATATGGGGATCTTATTATAGTATACCCAAAGCCATATTCTATCTACTCAAGGGCGACTATAATTAATGTTTGTCGCCGAAGTTGAAGTGGCCTGGTCCGAGCAGCGAACTGCAGTTTGACTATGGCTTCCAGGTCACCAATAGGTTGTTTTTTGTTTTTTCTCCGAACTTGGTAGTTCCCCTAAATAGGAGGACCCCAATATGGATCCCCAGTCCCAACATGGTACCCCTAACTTTGGGAAACCCTAAGCCCTAAACCCTATATATCCTTATAAACCCTTGTATAACCCCTAGAACCCCCTAAGGGACTCCTAATTTGGGAAACTCCCACTTACTTGGGAAAGCGCAGGTGATTGTCATGAAGCCTCAGCTGGATACTCGCTTCGGGGCGGCCCTCGTGCAGAGCCGGGCGGGCTTGGAACGTGAGGCAAGCAGGATCTTGGTTCCCTTGATCGATCTGGGGTTGGGGGGTTCAAGGGTTTAGGGTTTGGGGGTTTAGGGGTTTAGGATCTAAAAAGTAGAGCTTCCAACATGGTAGCTTATATATTGCTACTGGGCAATTTCCAGGCAGCCTTGGGGGGATCTACTTTCTAGATCGTTCGGGTTGTTTCTTGCGCCAGGTCGCACTCTTCTTCTACATGGTCAGTGCTGCCAGCATTCATGCCTGGTCTTTGTATCCTGGTGCCCTAACCCTACACCCTCAGAAGATCTCAACTTTGGGTTAATGCGTCATGCGCAGCAGACAGCTCAAGTGTAGATGAGTTCTTTGGCTTGCTGTTCTCTTGTCCTGGTGCTTTGTCGCCTCTGCATCTTCTACTTGATGTGTCTTGCAGTCTAGCTAGCCCGATAATTGTCTAGGATCCTACAAACTTGTATGCTGAAGATGTCGCCTGCATGTCAGAGATCTTCAGTTGAGGAGAACTGCAGTTGGCTTGTATTTGCGCATGCCAAGGGTTAGTATCAATTGAACCCTCACGTGCCGAATAGCCCTGAAGCCCGTGCACCTTTCGGAGGCAGACGTCCTCCTGACCAGTGATTCAGTATTTCCCCCGGAGCTGTTTGCCGATGCAGCTCGGACAAGTTGGAAGTGTATTGCCGGTTTTGGTCTGGGGCTAGGGTCAAAGCTTACAGTGGCTTACAGGTTTATCCCAGGGTATGCAGGAGCAGAGTTGTGTGTAGGATGAGGGGGTTGGGCATGGTTTGGTGTGGACAATCAACCATGTAGTGTCCCTGCCCTTCTGAAGTGTTCGTTAGATTAGATTGAACAAGATGAAGAATGACTTGGTAAGCAGTGCAATGAGTTTTCCAGGAATTCGGGTCGTTTCTGGATTACCCACGTGCGGCTCATTTTTTCGGATAGAAGCACAGCGCCAGCTTCAGGTTACCTAGGACTCACATACCAATATGTTTGATGCATACTTCCCGCTGTTCGCGAGGTCAGCTGCGTTCTAGTTGACGAGGTGGGATTGCGGCAAGTGCTGATTGCAAGACTGTGCTTCAGCTCGTGCAGCTAGTGTTTTCCTCCAACTCATGGCTCTGAAGCACCGTGTGGCTTGACTACTTCCAGTGAAGAAGGAATCTGCTTCTTTCGGGAAAGTCGCTATTGTCACTATAGTCGACTCTTTCCAAGCTCTGGGACACGAGTACAGGCGGGCAGTCGGCATGGGTTTGCTTTTGGCGTGCTTCGAGGCGCAATTCCTGGATCCATGCGTGGTGGAACGCTTGAGGACAGTTGCCACTACCCAAGGCGCATCCAATCTCTCGCGTGGAAATGGCTGTGGCATGGATCGTGCTTTCGCCTTGTTGGAGGGAAAACCTGGATCACGATGGAAAATTACCATCCCACCTAGGACATAGGCACTACAACAGAGCACAGATGGTGGCTTGTGTCTATGACATCCATGCATGCAGTGGGTGCGTCTGACTGAGGCTTAGTAAGGAGCTCTTTATCCAAGCTTAGAGCAAGTTTGGCGCCAGGTGTGCCTGTCATGTGCTTTGGCCTGCGCAGCTTGGCAGATCGTGGTGACATGGGGGGACATCCTAGAACTGTCAAAGGTAAGCTCCAGGGTTGCTGCTAAGGAACTTAAGCTACGTCACTAGAATGAGGAAGCCGTGTTATTTACCATAACTAATATGGCAACTTCATATATAATCCTTTGCGGCAACCCAATAATTTCTGTTTCACGAGCATGTCATTCCTGTCTAGCATGCCTCAGTACCCTATTGTTATCTCTCTCTTGGTTGTGGATGCTGCGTTTTGCAGGCTGGGGGCAATATGGAAACCCAACCATTCTGGGTACATCTTTTAGGCCCCCTCGATTTGAAAGCCACTGCTAAGTTGTACATTTTTTGCAGTAGTGACTCGTCTCAAATGAACAGAAAAGAACTTGATCGGGAGCCCGTGCAGTCGCCGAGGAACTGACTTCCGTTCACGGCTCTTCCCGGGCTCTCAAAGGCTCGCATTTAACATCCGTGACGCTCTTGTCACTTTCACTTCCCATGAGTTTGTGTGATAGGTTTCATTCATATTGCGATTACGACCACAATGGGTAAGTACCAGTATCCTTGGTAAGGTTGTTCAAGACTGCCAGTACCTGTATCAGTAGAGGCTAATGGAGTTGGCAGACTCGATCGAGGAGGCGCGGCAGGGAGAGCGGGCCAGCAGGGCACAAGGATTTGGGCCAAAGCGCAAAATCCTGCCATCAAGTCGCGCAAAGGCCAACTGCAAAAGAGCAAACGTCGTTAAAGCAAGGCTTTGTACTCTCGAAATCAGAGTGGGCAGTAGAAGCCTGGACGCGGCAGATGTCAAGTTATTCTGAGAAGCTTCCATGTTGGTCTCAAGGTGAAGACGACCTGCAGCTATTGCAGCAGGCCGCTTGTCAACACTTTGAGCCAACCAGCCTGAGACTGTAGTTGCTCCTGGTGCTTTAGGGGTAGTGAAGGGGTGGATGTAGGGGATTGCTTGGGGATCATGATGGGGATCATCTTCATTTCTTCCGGATGTTGGCCCAGTCAGTGAGTCGGAAACGGATTAGTTGAGAACTTGGCCGGGGCAGGTCAGACCTGGACGAGGCCCTCAGTCAGGAACGGACAGGGGGCGAGTCAGAAACAAGAGTCAGAACAAACAAAGGGAGAAGCCTTTGATTAAAACTCCGCGTGTTCTCGACTGGCCCCCTGTCCATTCTCGGCTCGCCCCTTTCCTGTTCTTGACTCGCCCCAAAGTTCTTTCTAACTTACCCTCCTGCCTGTTCCTGACTCGCCCCACTCTTGCTCCTGACTTGTGCGCCTGACTCGATCTCATCCAATTTGTTCCAAATGCTAAGACCTTTTCGTCATCCAATGCTGTGTTTTTCGGCAACGATGCTACTGACCGTGCCGAGGAAAGCCATCATGAACCTCAAGAGCCTCAGCCTTACATTGCTGTGGCCACTGTCGTCGCAGCAAACTTATAAGGCACGAGAACGTAAGCGCTGCTGTACGTGTAGAACAAGCCTGAAGACGCAACCCTCTCGTCATCCGTCAGAAGATAGACTCAAAAGCACAGGAAGCGCTAATATCTTACGATCGTCGCACATAAGGGGAATGCAAAACCCTCTTCAAGAAAATCCCTGGCTTCGGTGCTCGCAAGTCAAGTCAGGCGTCGATGGCAAGGCCACGCTCGACGGCCCGACGGTGTGTTTGGGAGCTGAGGAGATGTACGCGCTCCTCGGCGTTGTTATGCACAGGATGGAAATTGTGGGATGACAAGGGATGAGAGTTGTGGGGCCTTTGGGGATGCGAGGCTTTAACGTTGAGGGCCATGGGGTGCGCATAGAATTGGTGGAAAGTGGACTGTTGAGATGTGAGCTTGCTCCTGGAGCACGTCCGCAGTCAGAACCAGAAGTCATGTCTACGCGGCTCGCAAGGTTCCATCATCCGGTAATCAAACGTATACCCGCAACGACCTTCCCCTTTTTAACAACAATCTCCCCGGACCACCCGCAGCAAAAAAAGAGTTCCGCGTAATACATACAGGTACTATATTCGGAGCATTCATTGTTGGCAGGTGCGGGGTTCATTAATAGGGGAGGAGATTGATCAGTAGCAGGCCTGCGTGCTACCAGCACTTCTGTGAGAAGATTGTCGCTGCGACGGGGAAGCTCGGTGCAATTTGGTAGCTTTTTACTGGTTGTTTTGGAAGGCATGATGGAAGAACATGGAAATTCAAATCTCCTAGGGAACAATATGGGGGCGGCCGTAGCGATGCATTCCTCCATACTCTTCTCAGAACCAATAAGGCTTGCGGCAGTAGACTTGAAGCCTGCAGGAGCCCTGTACAACTAAGTCATTCGTTCGGGGCCCAAATCTTAAATCGCAATCCCCACTTCCTAAACTCCACTAAACTCTAGATCCTACCCTGAGCCCGCAATATTGGTAAACCCAGTAATTTTCCAGATTTCCAGGCGGAGCAGCAACAATGAAACTTCAAATGGTACCAAAATTCCTGTTCCGAAAACGGCCACTATGGAAATGACTTCCCCTGTACTTTTCCTTTAGACCTACTGGCTCCT